ATCTGTGAGTTAGCCATGCCCTGACTTAGATCAGCCCAGGGGTTGTTTCAGGATTCTATCTGTGAGTTAGCCATGCCCTGACTTAGATAAGCCCAGGGGTTGTTTCAGGATTCTATCTTTGAGCTAGCTGTGCCTTGACTTACTGTACATGTAGATCATCTCAGAGGTCATATTAGGGATTAATAATGTTGATGATTTTGAGATATGGATATCATTGACGCTAAAACATTCTTTATGTTCATTTGTAGACCATCTGTTTGTGGGACATCAGCAAAGTGACTAAGGTAAGTTATATTGTTTATATTATATTGTGTCATAAATAAAAAATAATCTTATGAAGTGGCTTACCTGTGCTTGTGTATTCATACTTTAGGAACAAAAGACTGTTGATGCACATCGTATCTTCACTGGACACTCAGCTGTTGTCGAGGTAATTCAATTTTTTTCTTTTTTTATTAATGATTCATAAATTATATAGAAACCATCTCCAAATTTCTTGAATACGAAACAGCAGAAATGACTTTGAAAATGACAAAAAATTAAGTTAAGATAAAATAATGGACTAAGTAATATGTACAGTATGAGTGGCTGTGTTGTATCAGATATACAACCATGAGCCGAAGGCGAGTGTTTGTATATCAGATACAACATGGACACAAATACTGTATGTTACTTATCAAACGTCTAGGTTAGTTCCTTTGTGTTTCACTAAAATTTTCAAAATTGAAGTGAATCTGGCCAAGAAAATCCAACTTAAAGTTTATGCAAATGAACACAGTTTTGTATCAGATTTACAACACTCTTCACGGTCGTGATTTCTGTTGTGTTTTCCTCATGAATTATTGATGAGTTYGATAAATAAATATATACTATTTATTGATTATTTACCAGGATGTATCTTGGCATCTTCTACATGAAAGCTTGTTTGGGTCAGTTGCTGATGATCATAAATTAATGATGTAAGTATACAAAATTGTATAATAATTTACTGGTTAATACTAAAGAATTTGACACCCAAATTGGTGTTAGTACCGACTGACAACACACTATCAACCTGCAGTTACTTCTTTACTCACAATCTACCATTACAATAACATTTCCTCAACCTTTCAACTTTCTACCAATACCCTACCCACATTCTAACAACAATCTACCAACAAGCTACTGTCAACCTACTGTTACTTCTTTACTCACAACCTACCATTACAGTAAGATATCCTCAACCTTTGAACTTTCTACCAATACCCTGCCCACATTCTAACAACAATCTACCAACAAGCTATTGTCAACCTACTGTTACTTATTTACTTAACAACCTACCATTACTGTACCATATCCTCAAACTATCGACATCCTACCAATACCCTGCCCACATTTTAACAACAACCTAACATACACTATTGGCACTGATCTGAGGATCTTATTGTTTACTCTTTTCAATTTACTGATTCAGAATCACACACATAGCAAAAAAATTTAATGATAAAAAGAAAAAGTATGAAATAATTCTTTTTTCCTAGATGGGACACTCGTCAGAACAGCAGTAACAAAGCCGCTCACACAGTGGACGCACACACAGCAGAAGTCAACTGTCTATCATTCAACCCTTATAGTGAGTTTATTCTTGCTACTGGTTCGGCTGACAAGGTACATATATTCCTCTAATGTCTCATCCACACATGACAATTTTTTTATCTCAGGGAATCAAGAGTAGCATAGAATTAGTGCACCTGCCACTCACCTTTGGGGTCGCGGATTAAATTTCTTGGCTTGACATCATGTGTGATCTATGAGTAAAGTTTTTTAGAATGAAGAGAGAGAGACTTAAAGTACTACTCTGACGAAAATCGCTCAAACTTGGATTCAGCTGAAACTTCCTAAGAATACTCTTTAAATGTCCAATAATTACTGTACGAAGTGTTTTCTCGATATTCAGGACGAAAGTATGATATTTTTACGATTAGCTTTTGGAGTCTGTGACGTCATACACTCAACATCAAACATTGCTACATATATTTCCTTGTATATAAATCCTTAATTTATTTTATTCCTATGAAGCCCAAAGGGTGGCTAATGTGCTTGTTTCACATTACTTGTGATTATAATTTATATTTTGGGGTGTTTGTGTATTTCTTTCTCGGCTTTACTACTGATATTTTGATCATAAAYTACAAAGAAATGTATGGAGCGATGTTCGATGTTGAGTAGATGTTGAGTCCAAAAACTAATCTTAAAAATATCATACTTTCGTCCTGAATATCGAGGAAACACTTCGTACAGTGATTATTGGACCTTTAAAGAGTATTTTTAGGAAGTTTCAGCTAAATCCAAGTTTGAGCGATTTTCATCAGAGTAGCACTTTAATAAACTCTACTCACATGTGATGCAATGTCCAGGAATCAAACGTAAGACCCAGAGGCAATCACCATTTATTTCCTATTTCTTTCTTTCATACAATAAATTGTTAAATAATCACTCATTATGGCTAAAACAGTTGATAGATAGATAATTTGTAACACCGTATGGTATGTAAAAATGGCTCAGTGGTAGAGCATCGGACCAGCACCCAGAAGGTCATGGATTCAATTCCTATCATGGACTTTGATTTATTTATTTTTTTAGCTAGTGACAAAATAATGATACATTATTTTAAATTATAAGTTATTCTATAAATTCATGATAGTTTGTCTTATCAACCATAGATTTGATAATATATTCCGAGCTTTCAGCCTACTCGGCCATCCTCAGGGAAATGAAAAACGTTACAATTGACAAAGAAAAACGCGATCAAACCATGGCATGTGTGCTCCAAACAAATTCGCCCACGCTTAGGAAAAAATAAATAAAACAAATTAATTAATTAAAAATAAATTAATGAATAATAACAAGAAATAGATAAATCAATAAATAAAATAAAAAATAAAATAAATAAATAATAATAATAAAATAAATAAATAAAAATAAATAATAATAAATAAAAAATAATAATTAATAAATAGATAAATAAATAATAAATAAATAAATAAATTGTTAATATAAATTGTTAATCTTAGATAAACATTTCTTGTACATAATATGGTGGTTACCTGTACTTTTAATATTTGAGCCATTCATCAAATATTACGGTTTTCTTTTATCAGACTGTTGCTTTGTGGGATTTAAGAAATCTGAAGCTGAAACTACACTCCTTYGAGTCGCACAAAGATGAAATATTCCAGGTAACATTTCTGCTTGATATTTTAAAGAGTATTTATCACTCAACTCCAGTAACATGTTCTTTCTCTGTTATGTTTTCCAGGTACAATGGTCTCCACATAATGAAACCATCCTTGCTTCAAGTGGGACAGACAGACGCCTTCATGTATGGGATCTCAGGTAATGCATTCTGTTCTATAGCTTTCAAATATGATCTGTGAGTTAGCAGTGTCATAATTTTTTTCCACCTGGAGATTGTTTCAGGGTTTAATCTGTTAGTTAACTGTTTCCTGACTTAGAACAGCCCAAGGGGTTTTTCAGGGTCTGATCTGTGAGTTAGCCTTTGCCTGACTGAAATCATCCCAGAGGTTGTTTCACGGTTTGATCTGTAAGTTAGCCATGCCCTGACTTGGATCAGCCCAGAGGTTGTTTCAGAGTTAAATCTTTGAGTTAGCCATGCTCTGACTTAGACCAGCCCAGAGGTTGTTTCAGGGTTCAATCTGTGAGTCACCCATGGCCTGACTTAGATCAGCCCAGAGGTTGTTTCAGGGTTCTATCTGTGAGTTAGCCATGCCCTGACTTAGATCAGACCAGAGGTTGTTTCCCGGTTTGATCTGCGAGTCACCCATGCCCTTACTTAGATCAGCCCAGAAGTTGTTTCAGGGTTCTATTTGTTAGTTAGCCATGCCCTGACTTAAATCAGCCCAGAGGTTGTTTCAGGGTTCTATCCGTGAGTTACCCGTGCCCTAACTTTGATCAGTCTAGTTATTGTTTCAGGTTATCGATAAAAATATAAACCATTTTGTCTAGCCTTATGTGCTTCACAGCAACATGTCTTTTCCCAGTTACAAAAGGATTGCTCTTGTAACATACTGTTTTTATAACCTTTAGTAAAATAGGTGAAGAACAATCAGCAGAAGATATGGAAGATGGACCTCCAGAACTATTGGTAAGTTAATTGGGAAGCACAGGTGGAGTAGCATCCAAAGAGCTCGCCTCTCACCAAGGTGACCCAGGTTGGAGTCTTGCCAGGCTCTGTGTCGTATGTGAGTAGAGTTGTTTGTTGGTTCTCTCCTGTGATTTGAGGATTTTTTCTCTGGGTTCTCCACTTTTCCTCCCTCCGCAAAAATCACTTTCTAAATTCTAATTTGATCTATCAGTAGCCTATTCAAGTGGGTTGCAAAACTGGTTAGGCTTCCTGCCATCCATCATGAAGTGGTATATTCGATTAGATTTATATTGAATTAACCAATCAAAAGAGGATTAATGCTTTGTTTTAGTTATGTTATTAATGCATAACTTCGTGTTGCCTGTCATGCAGATTGGATGTCCATGTGGTAATTTCACTTCTGTAATATTGCTATGTTCATGTAATGTTTTCTACCCTGTAGTTTATCCATGGCGGACACACTGCCAAGATCTCTGACTTCTCCTGGAACCCCAATGAACCTTGGGTACTGTGCAGCATCTCTGAAGATAACATCATGCAAGTCTGGCAAATGGTACAATATTATCGCCATCAGAATGGGCCCTATTTCACTATGACGTCACATCAAAACAATCTATTGTTTAAACGCAAAGGATCATGGTCGTCAGAGGGGACCAAACCAACACAAATTCACCGAAAATTGTTCTAAAACCTGTATCAATCCGCGAAGAGAAGTAGAATAGCCAGCAACACTCAGAATATTTTTTAGTACATATTAACACATATTATATCTGAAAACCAGGCCATTTTAGATTAAACTGTTTTGTTAGGAGCAAATTTTGTTGAATTTTCTATTGGATTTGGCGATTCTATCCCCCACATAAACAAGCAGTGACGTCATAGTGAAATAGGGCAATTGGGCTTCATTCCTTAGGGTCAAGGGAAGCATGGGTGTGGTAGYGGTAGGGGCACTCGCTTCTCACCAATGGCGACCAGGGTTCAAGTCTGGATACACCACCAGTTACATCTTTATAAATATGTCTGAATATATTTTGTCATTTCTAGGCTGAAAACATCTACAACGACGAAGAATTAGAGACACCAGCATCAGAGCTTGAAGAACCAGCATCCTAAGTTATACCTCCAACCATCATCATAACCTATACTTCCACGATCACATGTAGATATCCTTGCTTTTCTGCCTCCCTCTCTCTCTCTCTCTCTGTCATATTGGTCCACTTTACCAAAGAAAGACTTTTAATCCTCAAAAAGCCACTATAATTTTGTACAATATGTCAAACTATCTTTCCCCTTATTTATCTTTCCCCTTAAAGTACACAATTTGGTTCTTTTTCACTAGAGAAAAGCTTCTTAAATTTATTGGAAGAAAAGTGACTATAATTTTGTACATGTCAAACTCTTTTTTTCCCTCATATCTCTCTTTAACATAAAATACCATCTTGTTTATCACTTGGTATCCCCTGATCTCGATTTGAGCTTAGCAATTTCTAATATGTTTAGTACTGATATTTTTCGATTGCACGTTACGTCATCGCGGCCTCTCGGGGGAGCGTTGGTGCCATTTAACAAAAGATTTCTTATTAGCATCCATTGTAAACGGCACCACAATGGCTGCCATGATTTTAACTCTCTTGGGGATGCTAATGCTTGCAACCCATCAATAGAAGATAAGAGTTTGAAAAMCTTAAAGGTACAATATTATTCAAGAGGGGTCAAGCATACTGAATTTTGCTGTAACTGTATTTTGAAGAGACAAAAGGTTTTTCATGCCAACACATGCTGTCAATAGCGCAGCGCAGTCGTGACGTCATAAAAACAAAGACAAAGGCGAAATTTGGACAAACAAACTTACAAGTTTACTTTCAGCAGATAATTTTAACAGCCGATCGCAGTTGATCTTAGTTTACATGGGTTATTATTGTGACTTTAAGTAAAAATAATAAAATCGGTTCGTACAATCCTCGTAGCGGTTAAACAGAATGCAATGTTTTAAGCTATTTTTAGAATCAGTGCGCTGCGCTATTTACCATTCATTCAAGCCAATCCGAATATGTGATCACTTTGAAGAATACTTTCTAAAGTAACTCTAGGAGTTCGAAAATACTTGTTTCTTTTCTTTATTAAGCTCAACTTATGCCACAAACGTTCTAAGATCCTTGATCTGTTTGTTAGTACCATACCAGTGGCCAAAAGCTTAAATTGTCTTAATTCTCGACTTTCACATCCCCATAATGCCTTGTGTTTTTGGGGGGTAACCAATCAAAAAACTGTCCCAAATTGAAAGGTTTCTTAATTGAATTTATACTATACCTGCTTTGATCTGTACAATACTGATTATCAGTTTATTCCAARYTATTTTTGMRTTTACAGATCTTACCAAGGTACTAGCTGATCCATTTTTGTAGGTTAAATAAAGTTATTATTAATATTATTATTATTAAGAGTTTTGGTCTTACAGAAAATGTATTGACTTACAAAAAAATGTTTAAAATGTACCTTAAACGTCTTCAAGCTTCTATCTTTTTCTGTTTTTTACTTCTTCATTTTATCTTTGGATACCAAACAAGGTATTTTCAACATTGTCTGATCAGCCTTCAGCAAAATAAGTGGGTTTTTACCCTCGGGTTACCCCCCAAAGATGCAAAGGATTATGGGGATGTGAAAGTCGAGAATATTACAGCGCTTTTCAATCACACGCTAAGTCTACAATTCGAAGACATTGCTTTTGACGTATGTCAATCAAGAGGTTTCCATGACATTCCATAGGCACGTGTCCTTGTAAACTTTGTTTTCCGACAATGTCATGAAATGCTATGTGGTCAACTCTGAGTTTACATCCACCAATACCTTGTTTTGTCGAAAAATAACATTACGATTAAGAAGCGCTTAAGATAATGTGGAGACTGACCTGTTTGTTGTTGTATTAATAAAGATTTTTTAATGAAAATAAACTCTAATAATTAACAAAATTTACCTACCTAGTCTACGTCTCGCAGTAAACTACTAGAGTTAGATAACAAGGAGGCATCTGGTCTAGCTTGAATACAAACACCTTGGAATTAAAGTGCCTATGACCCCTAACTCAATGTTTTCAGCATTGATTCTACATGAAGTTAAAAGTTAAATAGTAAAATTTTTTATATGATTTGAGTGATGCATCTTGAAGATATCAAGGTTTATGATTCCAGTATGCTAATGAGTGTGATGTCATAGTAGGCATTTGGGTTTATTTGTCATCATTTTAAAATCAAACACTGATTACTATGAGGAAACAAATTTGCAATAACCTTTCTATAAACCCTGAGTAAGATAATTGTTTTATACAGGATATTTTACTAACCCAGTAAATATTTCGTATATTTAATGATGCCTCCTATGACATCATACTCATTAGCATACAAGTATAAACCTTGATATCTCCAAGATGCATCACTCAAATCATATAAAAATATTTTACTATTTAACTATTCACTTCATGTAGAATCAACGCTGAAAACATTGAGTTAGGAGCCATAGGCACTTTAAAAGAAAATGTATACCCAAGCTAGAGCAGAAGGAACCTTTCCTTTTGCTATCTCAGGAAAGGTCTATAGTAAGACTGCATCTATTTTGTGTGTGAAACCAAAATGGTCTTCGTATGCATATCATCATGACTTGTCCTCTTCACCAAATGATCTCTCACATTTCCCACAACACAGGCACACATCCACGGCACTTAACAAGCTCAGGGTCAAAGTAGTCTAAAAGGTGAGAATAGCCTCCTTGCACTGAGTCCCAAAAGGAATTGTTCTGGGGGATTTTTTTTTTTTTTTTGTTTTGTTATTTTTGCATAAGAAAGAATGGCCTATTGTTTAGTTCCCCACAACAATTCCTCTAGGAAATCAATGCAAAGGGTCTATATAGCTTAGGGTGAATCAAGAATGGCGTTGTGGTACAGTACTCGCCTCACGGCTACGACTTTTGAGTACACAACATTTTGCCGGAAAGACTGTTGACGTATCGTGGTAAATAAGACTTAATATTACGCTAATTAAACCATCGGAAATTTCTGGACTCTAACCACAAAATACGTTTAATAATAATAATAATAATAATAATAACTTTATTTCTGTGTCAGTAAATATAGTGGTTGCCCACCAAGTAAGGACAACTATCTACAGCTATCTACTTAAAACAAAAGGTAAGATTATTTATGACATCTGCGCAAGCAAAGGTATTGTGTTTGCAATGACTACCATGGCAATAACCAAGAAAGACTCAATACAGGCAACACACTCAATACTTCTGATACTTTCACGTCCCACAAAAGTTATTCTGCCTTCAACTCCTGTTGCTACTGGATCATTTGCCTTTAGATAAAATGCCAAGATATCAGATTCATGGCTTCCTACGACACGAGACAATGTTTTCTCCTTCAAAACGGTATATCCAGCACCTCCCTTGACGATATAGGAGGGAGCAACGACCTTGTATATCGTATTATCCCTAAGGGGGTGGTAGACGGGCTCACGGCACGCAGAGCAACGCACTTTGACGCTGACGACTCGCTGCCCCGATGGTTTCGAGACGTCGTACTGCACGTGAAGACCTGGAGAAAGTAAAAAAAAATATGTTGACTAGGTTTGTTAGTTCTTTGTACCATATGCGGCAGAGCTGTTTAAAAAGTGGGGTTGCCTGATCACGACATTCTAGGATACACCTGAATAGATTGCTCCTCTCTAGTAAAAGCGTTCCAGTTGAAAGACCCCAATAGGCCCTTCATAAGTCGAGATAACTAGCTAAAAACAAGTGTGAGCTGCGTCGGTGTTTCTAATGAAACAGTAATGATAAAAAGGTCAATTATACACCGTGAAAAGATGAAAAAACTTACTGACGTTTCGGACGCTAGTCCTTCGTTGGAGTCAATCATTTCGAATTCCATCCTCCCCCACCCCACCCCCCACCTATTTCTTTTTGTTTAAGTTATCTTTCTAAGTTTTCTGTATGTACGATAATTCACACTGAGACGAATCTCTCCTTACGACCACTCTCGTAAGCGACCAGCTCTAGTTACAACCACGATTTTGAATCCTCGTTTTGCATTACTACTTATGAAAAGCATTCTCATTAGCGACCAGCTATATTTACGACCACGTTTTTCGATTTCCCGAGGTGGTCATTTGCACGAGCTTCGTGTGTACATCACTTTCTTTACAAAATGCAAAGTTCAAATTTATACCCATAAGGTGGAGGCATAGAGAGATCGGTTAAGAAGAATAGGACAATCTAGCACCCTCAAGCTCGAACATCCCTAGATTATCCATATTGGATTAAAAGGGTTTCGCAGTTCATCTGTGTTTTATAATATCATACCTGATACTTGTAGAAATATTGCTTGAGGATTGAGAGGGTCGTAGGTAGACACAGAATATTCCAATACAGCTTTGAGGTCGGTACCCTTCAGTTCTATGAGGTCATAAGTGTTGTTGTACGGTAAACTGTTATAGACGTGACCAAAGGTGATGTATTCTGTGAAGTATATAAAGAACTAATGGTGATCGAGATAACCGAAGTTTTTGTTATGAAATTTTAAACCCATTGTTGTGGTATAGGCCTTTTCTGAGTTAAATAAACGTGATGCATTGTGGTCTACGTTGGGTACAACAACACCATATAAGGCATGATCAACAAAACATGTTTGTACCGTAACTAGACCACAATGCACCATATAATTGCATCTCAAAAAGGTCTATTGCCAACGATAATTTGAGCGTACAACGCTAGTCTCACTAAAGCTTTGAAAGTTTCATAAGTTCCAATATTTTGAAATTTTTCTGTGGGACAAGATAAACGCAATTTTTTTTTATTTATTTATTTTCCTTTCTTATAACGTTCGCAGCATATATCGCAAACTTAAGTTTTTGTTTCTTTTCTACCGTAGTTGCCAAAGGTCGTCTTACTCTCGCTGGCGAATCTGGGCTTCCGACTCAAGCAGGTCATGCAAACATTTTTGGAGTATTTGCATCGTTTGTCAAAGTTTGGCACTCTACGACCAAACGCTCTTAAAATGGATTGTCCAACTGACCACCAAACTTGCTGACTATATCTAAGCAAGGTCAGGGAAAACGTTTGGACATAGTGGCTATTCATAGAGAGGTTTTTTGTATTAGTGGGGAAATTGAAATAAGAATGTGAATCATCCAATAGAGGCTTTGTACCATCACGTGCCGGCGCCCATGAAACAGCTTGGGCTGCCTGTGGTTGGATGGCAGAACAATAAAATCCCTTTGCTCTCGGGCATTGAATTCTTTCTTATGTAAAACAATTGTATTGTTCCTACCATCTAACATGGCTGCCGTCACGTGAGGGTGCAAAGCCTTTAATTAATACAACGCTTTGCTATGTTTAATATAAAATACGGCGCGGTACGCTTCCGAGGTACGACTAAGAAGTAGGGAATTCGTATCCAATAAGCCTTTTCATAGTTTAAGAATCGATTCCACTGCGCATGCGATTTTATCCCGAATTTCTCACCTTCTTTTGTCTAAACCTTCTTTTGTTCTTAATTAAACAAAAGAAGGTGAGAAATTCAGGATAAAATCGCATGCGAAGTGGTATCGATTCTTAAACTATGAAAAGGCTTATTCGTACAAATTATATGCTATTCGTTTAAGAGTCTTTTTAAAACTTAGTCCCAACATTCCGTTTTAATCTGGTAATTCTACATGGTATTTTTCAGTTTACCTTGCGGAGATGTATCGATAGAAACCACGATGCTCCCACTCATTTGAAAGGCTACACTCACTTCAGTCCACTGATTAGAGTTGGCCGTTTGATTGGCGTAGTAGAAAACCATGGCATCTGTTATGATGTTACCAAGGTTACACTCTTTGATACCGCATTCTTTTGGATTGCCGTTTAGGTAGACGAGAGTTCTTCCAAGCTTCATCTGTGACAAGACGTTGTAAGTGAAACTAAATCAATACCTTATCTTTTTTAGCATGTTGCGTGTATAAGGCTTCGCAACTCCTTCGCCACTTCTTCGTTTTCCCTCGCCATTCCCTCGCCACTTCTTTGACACTTCTTCGCGACTCCTTCGCCACTCCTTTGCCACTCCTTCGCCACTCCTTCGCCACTCCTTCGCCACTCCTTCGCCACTCCTTCGCCACTCC